GAAAATTTTATTGATATATCCTTTATATTCCCTGGTATAACTATGATCCCCTGTTATGTCCCCTCTGTTCTCCTGGGGTATAATGATTTGAACAAATTTAAATCTACATTAACTGAGGATGCTTTTATATTATCACAACCAATCATGCCTTTGTTGTTCTTGCAGAGATTTTTAAAGATTTTTCCTATGTAAAACTTTTATCGCCCATTTTGGCCCCACCCTACTCCCGGGGGTCATGATTTGAACAAGCTTGAATCTACACTACCTGAGGATGCTTCCATATAAATATGTCTAATAATCATGGCTTTGCTGTTCTTGAGAAGAAAATTATTAAAGGTTTTCCCTATGTATTCTTATGTAAAAGTTTGATCGCCCATTGTAGCGCCACCCTACCCCCGGAGTTCATGATTTGAACAAACTTGAATCTACACTACCCCAGAATCTACACTACCTGAGGATGTTTCCATATAAATATGACCAATCATGGCTTTGTTGTTCTTGAAAAGAAGATTTTTAAAAAAATTTCCTATGTATTCCTATGTAAAACTTTTCCCCCATTGTGGCCCCACCCTACTCCCGGGGGTCATGATTTGAACAAAAGTGAATCTACACTACCCGAGGATGCTTCCATATAAATATGAACAATCATGGCTTTGCTGTTTTTGAGAAGATTTTTAAAGATTTTTCTTATGTATTCCTATGTAAAACTTTGATCCCTCATTGCGGGCCCACCCTACCCCCGGGTACACTACCTCACAATGATTCCACATAAGTTTCATACTTTCAAGCACAGTGGTTTTTGAGAAGAAGATTTTAATTTTTCGCAAAATCATTATTATCTCCCCTTGGAAGAAGGCGTGGCCCTTCATTTGAGCAAACTTGAATCCCCTTTACCCAAGGATACTTGGCAAGTTTGGTTGAAAATGGCTCAGTGGTTCCTGAGAAGAAGATGAAAAATTTGAAAATGTGAAAAGTTTACATCGACTACGACAGACAACGGACAAATTTCGATCAGAAAAGCTCACTTGAGCCTTCGGCTCAGGTGAGCTAATAAAGATTCTGTGAAAATCTCATTATTCAGTAGTATGGGAGGAGTTACGGATAAGACAAGTACCCCATGTTTTAGAGAAAATGGCATTGTCCACAATGGGAAACCCCAAATATTGATCTGTCCAAAAAGGAGGTGCACAATGGCACGATATAATAAAGATTCTGTGAAATAGGGGGAGTTTCTGATAAGAGATGGTACCCCCCCCCCCCCCAATTGTTACGAACGTACGGAAGGATATACGGACGGACACTCCCGTCACAATATACCCACGCTATTCAATAATAATAATAACCCATAGTTCTATGTTCCTTTTGCAAATAGAGTATCATGTATGCTATAAAGATATTCAAGTGTACCGTAACCATATTGACAATGATTAGTTTCAGTGCTTATTTCTTTGAAATCATCAAATTTCAGATTTCAAAAACTCACAATTGACGTGAATGAAATACATGTATATTTTTATTCACAGCATATTTGATAACTAACACGAAGTTTAATTGCATCATTTGATATTTTATTTCCTTTCTATTATAATTGTATGTTTTGAGGAATCTTCTGCCAAAATATCTGCATTCCAAAGAAGTTTTCATGGTTTTGTTATTTACAATATACTGTTGGATAGATGGTTTTATAGTTATATCAGTCCCTTGCTCAGGATTAACGGATGTTGAATATAAACTTTAGTATTCCAGTATTCTAGATCAAGTCTGTGAATGGTTTAGTTTTTCGTAGCACCACGGAGATTGTACGTTGGCCTTGTGTAAATCTAAACATTCCTATGCCCTTTTCGCTGCATGATCTGATCCACTAGAAAAATTAACACGGTGTGTAAATTATATTTTTAGCGATAAGATGAAAAGGTTTGGGAAATGGAGATTAGGAGTAACATATCCATTAAAACCATTGAAAATTGAAGGTCTTTGAAAATCCAGCTTGTACTACTGTTCAAAAAGAAAGAAAATTCCAAGGATTGTGTGTTAAGTTTACAAAAAAGAGAGATTTAACGGTGAATCAATTACTGCGTGTTAAAGCGATACGTTCGTCATAATTAAAAGTGATAAGAAGAACAAAGGCAAAGGGACACTCTAACTCTTCTTACCAGATTTCCATCCCGATTGCAATCAGAGACCGTAGACATACCCTATACCAATACAAAATACGTAAGAAACAAGTGCTCAGGTTTTCAGTCGGTTTGACTGGCGATATGCCATCCTGAAAAAAGATGACCATGTAAGAACCATTTAAAAGTTAATCCTGTCTAAGAGAGATCCAATAATTGATGTATCATATTCTTGATTAGGAGATGCACTGCCAGCACCTCTAGATGTAAATCATCGAATGATTTACAAAGTTCGGAGCTTAAAATGACAGATTTATTCATTTGACAACATGCAACAGGTTAAAGAGACAAAATAGATAATATTTTGTCATTGAATGCAATAGCTGTGAGTGCTATTACACAAAGTGTGTGGGGACCTGCAAACAATGCAGCCTCTACAGACAGGGCATGAGAGCATGAAAAATAGATTCCAGTCTATTTGATAATCATTGATTAAGATATTGTCTCCAACACCTTGAATTACAATCAGAATTATTCTGTTCGCAATTAATAATTTAAAAGACAATACTATCAAATTAGGGTGCCCATCCCTATATGTCTGCCCTGTCCTTCGAGTTCGTCTGACTTCATATAACTGTGGTAGGGGATCATGACGTTTTAACCTCTGTGTTCACGTGACCTCACAGCTAGGTCCTATGAATGGGATGACACCTGATCAGTTCTGCAATGTCTGCGAGTCGGTTCCTCCAAGCACCTGTGTTTATGTGATTGATAAAGTGATCAATCGGGTTATTCATATTTCATGTAAACATTATCTTGTCCTATACTGTTTGTTCCTGCATTATAACCCATTTAACCCTTTGTTCTCGCCGAATTTCAATTACCTTTCAGGTTCTAGAACAAAGCACCCCAATAAATCAGTCAGAGTTTTGACTTTTTTATAGTAACAAAGATAACGATGCAATTAAAATGAAACTAAAGAAAACAATTAACAGTTTTGAATCAACAGCCCTGTATTAAAAGTGCATAAAACTTTTTTTAAAGACGACTTTAGATAGGAATGAAGTGAAAATCAATTATAGCATAAAATATCTTTATTATTAGTTTTATTTTTTGTCAAGTTTACGTGATTTTTCTCAATGCAGTTATCAGGGTTTTTGAATTTCTATCCCCATAAACAAACCAAATCAAAAAAAAAAAAAATGGAAAAGAATACTTCTATTTATCTAACTATATAATCTACAGTGTTCTGTGTCATTAAATGATTTTCTTCAAACAAAGTACACTGTAAGGGTGTCTTTTATATTCTTGAAATATAGTATAGTGCATTCTGTATATTTAAGTTCATGTAACTTTCCAAATAAAATTTACGTGACTGATTAATCTGACTCTCTACTGTATTGTCAATAGAGGTTCTGTTTTTCAAAGCACAAACACTACCTTTCAGGAAAGGACAATTTAAGATAATTCTTTTTTTTTTAAAGAAATTAGAAAAGAAAATACATGTATTCCATCTTTTCAAAACTCTTATAGTGTATGCTTGACAAATTGTGCCAGTAAAATTGTATGTTATTAAAAATAATTTTTATCCTTCTTAGAATTAAGGACGAATATACTAATAGATAGTATATAGGTCCCTGACGGGATAAGATTCCAAGTAAAACTATTCTCAATTACTTGACCAGAACTGACTTGAGATAATAGCAAAATTTACTTGCATTTTTCCAAATGCTAATAACATTTAATGTAAGTATGTTTTTTATCCATATTTTCTTTTTCCTTTCACCGACAATTTGACCGTAGACTTTCTAGTCCCTATATAAGGTAGTTGGTACCCCTTAAATACCGTACATTCTGTGAGGTCAGGGAGGTCGCGCCTGAGCCCCACTGCAGACAGTACGGTTCATCCTATCTTGTCCTATTCAGACCAAAGCCGCATTGTCTCCAGATTCCCATTTCGTCCTATCATCTGATTTAATCCGTCACGTGTCGCTTACGCCATTGTTCAGATGGTCTAAGTTGTCAAATCACGAAGACCCCATCAGAAAAAGATCTAAGGTCCCTGCCTCTGTCAATACAATGGTGTTACCAGAGATCAAAGGTGCTCCCAGATATAAAATCCCCAAATCTGCCAATATCGAGCAATGCAAAAGCTCACATAATGCAACATAACATTTGATATACAGAATGTGCATGAGATACTTGCTTAACGGTTTTCGTGTTCACGTGAAAAAAATGTGTTGGGGCATATGGTATTGGTTTTGACAAAGCACTAGTTTATTCACTAAAATATAGGATCCAAATTTTGACAAATTGTTTCTTTGATGTAAGAAAATGAACTTTGCCACTACACAATTGGCTTTTTGTATTGTCAGGTGTGCGAGAAGGTATCCAATGCCTCAGCGAAAGGTTGTCCACCGATAGGGAAACTAGCCGATCCAGTCTTACCATGGGAATGGCTCAAATATTGCAAAAATACTTGGCCTCTTGTTTTATGATACAGGAAGTCTGCATCGATCCCGCGTGAAATGGATGTTGCAATGTAATGATTATACACATAAAATAATTATAATGATATAGCAAGAATGTAAAACAGCTTAGCTATACAAAATCTAAACCGTTTTTAAATTGAGAAGTAAATGTTTTGAAACATTCAGGGTGTGCTCTTTCTCTGAAGTTTTATCACGCCTGTTAATCGCTCGGTTATGTTTTAAAGTTTTATGAATATGCATAAAAGAGGGTCGATTCTAAGAGCTAGTGAAAAGGAATTCTATTTCATATTGTACTATCTGTAAAATCAACGTAAGGTTGAAGTCCTAAAATTCATTGATAAAAAAAAACTTGGAACGTTTGTGATTAAACTATTCTCGTACTACTGGCTGCCAGCGGATACCCCCAAGACTAGAACGGTCCAATCATGAGGCCCCAAATCTGTTGCCAATGGCGATTTGAATAGAGCATAATAGCCAAGAGGCAGTACAATTATGAAATGCTATAGTTTTCTTTGATTCTTGACAGACTATAGATATGCTGAGCTCATAGAAATGGTTTGAGTCTCTTTATGTCTGGAGTACTTATTGCAGGCGTTTCGGGATAGCGTTCTTGTGTGCACCGACTGTGTCGTCTGCGATTGTGAAGAATTGATGAAGGATTCCAACTAGAGGCACCGTGTTCTGGATATATATAACTGACAGCGTAAGTTTGCAAGTCATCTTCAATTATTCTCAAATAAGCATAAAATTATGGTGGGAAACTTTTTTTAAAGCTTCATTGATATCAAACTTTTTTGAAAACTTCTAGTAATTTCGCATAAAATGTCCATTCTGCAAACGATGTCTAAAAATTGGACCACCATGTTTTTGATAACTGATATAAAGGAGTGCATAAAAAAAATTAAAAAAAAAAAACAAAAACAAAGTAAATATAGACTTGAGAATTTCATGAAATATATACATTTGATACCATGATGAGATTTTACATGTATCTTCGTCAATAAAACTTAATTAAAAGAATGTATGTAAGATTTCAATTTTTAAAAAAATTACAACGAATGAAGAGAAACAATCGTAGGTTGTAAATTAAATAAAGATAGCAGCGGTACAAATAGACTCAAAACAAAGTTTCTAAAAAAAAAGGTTTATAATTTTGAATACATAGCATATTCAGAACATTAACATTCATTAATTTGACAAGTTTAACAATTTACATGTAGCTTACCTACGTCAAGGAGAAAGAGTGGGATAAAGCATATGTTGTGATTTAAATAATAAATAAACAATATAATTCACAGTTTATTCTACATATAATATATTTAAAATGAATAATGTGTTAATTGCTCTTCACAGAATGATGCTGTTGAAATTGAATTCGTCGCCTCCTACACTACTTGCAGTCATTTTTATTTGTCTTTGTAAGTATGAAGTTCTCTTTCTTCTAACCTATATCTTTCTAAAAGTAAGTAAACGTCAATAGAGCAGGACTAACCTTACTCTAGTTCCGTTTCCAGATCGGAGAGCAGAAATTAATATTCACATTCATGATAATTGACCCTATCATTCTGGACGCAGTTGGTTCATTAACACACGACAATTAACCTACCGTTCTACATTACTTTGATCCCCATTTAGCAAGAGATTCAAAGGCACCTCTGACAAAAGAGAGGGTTAAAGATTGCGTAATGTTTTTTCAGCAAATTTAAAACTGCTAGATATGTAATTTTGTAGGCAAAGGGCCATTTCCTATATCTTTGTTCTTATCAGGTCCCATTTCCAGCAAAAAGATTCATCGCATGATATAAATCTTTGAAACACTTCTAAGCCGACAAAATAACGGTAAAATGCATATCTGATATGTGATTTTTTGTTTCTATTTAAATTCTCACCCAAATCGAATTTCGCAAGTCAGCAATGTTTTGAATAATACCTTTTTGATCTTTTGAAAATCTATAGTTTTTGATCAGATTCATTGCACAGTCAATTTTATTCCCACTGTTTTACAAGCTACATATATTATTCATATACAGACCCCAATGTACTTTAAAAGAAAATTGATAGACTTCAAACCTAATAGTATACAGTACATAAATGGATTACAGTAATAGAGACTGTCCGTGAAGGAATCTACAGCCAGTTTTCATCTAAACAGCTTTAATCTTTTACTGATAGATGTCATTGTTTTAAATAACAAAGATTAAGTAAATATACCTAACAAGTTAATTAAACTGCTAAACATCCCCCGTAATGTTATACAACGCCCATCCTCAACAAAAACATGTGTCTTCGTGGTCAAAAAATTTACCATTACGGAGACCTTCTCTCTTATGCTTTCTGGGTTCAAAAAAGTCGGAATCTAAATATTTAGGGTGAAGCAGGAAATAGCTATTTTGTGTTTTTAAAAAAAAGGGTAAAGCATGATTGATATGCTCCACAGAAACTATCCTAGCTGAAATGTGTAACACTCAAAGAATTTTATTCTGTCTCAGACTCCTGCAAAGATCAAGGGAATGATAACCACTTCAATGTTCAATTCAATTCACTTTATTGACAATTACCATGTCGGCATACAGTCATGACATAAAACGAATTAACAAGAATAATACATACATATACAAAGTGACAAATGCGAGTTGAACAAAATAATGTAGAGTATATTCACATATTTCTAAGTATTCATTGCTGACTTTCTTTTCTGGTGTCAAAGCACTTTTTCAAAAAACAACATATCCTTCTAGCAGTTGTAATATTTGTAGGATTGACAATTTTTCTAATGGGATTATCACTAGTATATGTGTTTACATTAAATATATCAGTATAATTGCATCTAAATTGGTCATACTTTGAACAGTATAGACCAAAATGTTTTTCATCTTCAATAAATGTATAGAAATGGTGTTATCCTGCCTTGCAATGTTGTAACCATTTTCCTCTCGTTGAACATTTAAATATTTCTAAGGAAAGAAATCTGAATGATCCTGCCGTATCGCCTTGAGACCTTTTCTTTAATAGATTGCAAAGAAATGACATATCAGAAAACATGATTATCAACTAACAGTTGATCTTGTAACAGAAACCCCACAGCGAGACACTGTGAGATACATGTACCCCGTGACAGGTGCTTGTCACCATTCTGATGGTTAGATTACAGGAACAGGTCTATCTAGTCCGCTGCTGATACTCACTCCGATTTGGGTTTTGTTTTTGACTACTAATTTGGGTGGGATGAATCCTTACAGGTCGTCAGTTTGTGAAAATTCTTGTTTTACACCTTGGAATTTACGGATTATCAAGATTTACAAAGTTGACAGCATGGTATTAATCGTCGATGTCGGTATCTTGGGTAGGGTGAAGGGTCAAATTGCACCACGGACCTTCTTTTTACACAAAGGTTGAACATCGCTTGAATGACAGAATTGTATTATGTGATTTACGGTTTACAAACAAAAAATGTCGGTCTTTGTCACAATAAGAAGAAACCACCCAATCCCTGCCTCTGGGTGATAAAAACCGTTCAACACTTATCTGTTCGACTCGCTTGTCAGTCAAAAAGTCACACATATGAACTAGCTAGCGCTTCTTTGAAAGGAATTCCGACACAACTTTATAAAAGGTAGTTCACCCTGCAGATGTTAGATATATTTTGTTTTCCCGACCCTTGTACGCTTATTCAAATCATACGTAATAATTTTACAAGGGTAAGCATCAGGCTCGATTTAATTTCTCAGCGGCTTGCAACAGTTTTGAAGTTTAAAAAAAACGAGCGTAAAAAAGAAAAATAGGAAGGAATGATATATACACTTGTAATCAGTCAAAGAGTGCATATGAATATAAAGAAACAAGAAACTTTTTTGAATACCATACGATCTGAATGTATATCAGGATTAATGTTCTGGTTGAGAAGTTATATCCTCCCCCGTGATTTCACCCGGCGTGTCCGTCGTGTAACTCACTCCTCCTCGTAACAACAGGTGTCACGTGCTTTTTATTACCGGGCATAAATGTTCTTTGAATGATTCAACTAAATCAAAATAATTTCATAAAAAGTTATTTCTCGCGTTATTTTTTTCTAATTTTTTAAAAAAATTAATTTGAGTTAAGAATTCATTTGCCATTCCTTTTCAACTTAATCTGTCTCATAATCTCATAAAATTTGAACATAGATCTATTTGCACATTTCTCTCATGAAAGATTTTAAAATTGCTAGACAAATTGAAATCAAGAAACGGCACACACTTGACACCACGCTCCAAGAACACTTTAAATTTACAAACTCAGCAGTAAAAAGTAAATAAAATATACTTCCCTCTTCACAGAGTTAAGTGGATAAAGATATAGAATAAACAGTATATTTTTGGTTCAGTATTAATCAACTCGTAAGAATGGTTTTTAAATAGTTATTTAATCAGAATGATCACAGATCAAGTATGTAATGTATATCGGATTTTTATGTCTAATAGCAAAGAATTCAAATTGCTCAACAATGCTACATTTATTTCACGAAGGGGAAAAAAATTACAAAATACATTCACTATAATAAAATTCAAGTCTGACGAGTGACGATGATAGAAATAGAGACCAGATGGTTTACCTATAAATATTATCTTCAACTTTGAAAGTTTTTTTAATGAAAAAAGTAACAATTTATTACAATCTTCTGTTTTTCAGACATTCCATTTATTTATGGCTCAAAATGTGATTATACAGTGTATGGAAAAGACGATGCTCCAGGTAGGCCTGTCTCTCACAGCGAGGAAGATTGTATGTTAAATGATGTACATGATTTATCCAATAAAATAACGGCTATTTCCGACTTGTATCGGTCAAGCAACTTGTTTTTTTATGTTCTTTACTCAAAAATACATTAACATTCAGACAGGATTTTTTTCTGACTACATCTTGACTTGATTAGGATACTACTCTATTTTTTAAAAGCAACTTTAAAAATAAACGTGTTACCTGATTTGTTTTCATTTTGGACAGCGTATGATGTTATATCCTCATACAACAACTTTAAGGGGGTAGTGGGGGTAAGGACTGATGGCAGAGGAGGCACTCAGGAGGGACAGACGTCATATGAATTCAGGAGGAGAGCTGAGAGGGGATACTTGACCATTCCAACAAGGTGGCCTAATAAATGGGATTCAAGCACCTATCTGCAATGTCATACAAAAACGAACATTAAAGAGATTAATAAATCTTCGACTTTTACATGCTGAAGCACTACTTTACAAAAGATTTACGCTTCTTTTCAGGAAACAATAAAATTTATCAAACTTTAGTGGTGTCATAAAAGAGGGATATACATCGAAGAAAACAGAAATTAAATTCAGTCCTTAAACTGAAAAGTAATTTTTTTTAATTTCAGAAATTTGTTTTCGGATGATTTTCCATCAGAATTTTCTCTCACAACGACACTGAAGTTTGCAAGTGTAACCAGACGAGAATCGTGGCATCTTATAGAGATTTCAAGCCCTGATGGCGAGACGGAATTTGCCGTTCGCTTCAATGGAAAACTGAAACAAGTACACCTTCTGTACAGAGACAGGGCCCACAACACACTCCAAACTGCCGAATTTGACAAGAAAGATACACGAAATGTATGTTTAGATTCTCTTCACATCAATTACATTGAGATAACTTCGATTAAATGGCGACTCATTATTGATTGATGGTGGGAAATGAATGCATGTCTCATTTGTTGCAGGTCATCAAAATAAATGTTTTTTCTTTGCAGGTTTTTACTAAAGGTTGGCATAAAGTTGGGATCAGTGTACAGAGATATGAATGTTCCTTGTATATTGATTGTAACAGGATACAAACTGTCCAGCTTAGTTCCCTACATGTCAACACCTCGGGATACATGACCATAGCCAAATCTTTGTCCTCCAAACACAACACACCAAAGGTAGGCACAATTATATAGCTAATACTCAAAAAAAAACAACAACAACAAACAAACAAACTTACAACTAAACCACCAAAGTTGTCACAATCGTACAATAACAAAAGTAGATACAATCAAGCAACTTATAAGCCAAAGGTATTCACAAACACCAAAGTATGCACAAACATATGATAAAACAACAAAGGTAGGTAAAATCATACAGGAGTGAACTAATACACCAAAGGTAGGAACAACGATACAGCTAGTTTGCTAAAGGTAGGCATAATCAAAGATATGCACAATCACACACCACAACCATACAGCCAAATAATACAACTTATACAGCAAGGGTAAGCATAACCATTCGGCAACTCTAAGCACAATCATACAGCTAATACAGAAAATCGTAAGCATTATCGTACAGCTACTACGCCAAATGTAGGCTCAATTATCCTACTATAACATTAAAAATAGTCATAATAATATAGCTAAGGAAGTGAATGTTCTAGAGCTTATGTTCATATGAATTGGTCAGATCAGATATTATTAAAACCTAAAATGCTCTTTCTTTTATTGATTTTTATTATATTACCAATCTTTCTCAAAAACATGTTTTTGGAAATTTCCTGGGTATGATAAAACAATCATCAGATCTAAAGTTTATACTTTCTGAAGTTTTATTAGGGAACAGTATGCGGGTCCGTTTGTCCGTCCATCTGATATCACTTACCTGAAGCCCTTCTCGTCTCGAGACCGTGTCTGATTCAAACTTCGATTTCTCCAAGTTTAAAGTCAAAACCTATGATGATCTTGTATGAAGATCTTATGACAGACCTTTCATTTTGGCATAAATTTTGGCCAATATTACTATCACTTGACCACAAAATAACCAAACAGAAGTGCCATTACCTTCATTAAAGATTCTATGTTGAAAATCAGGGTCAGTACAGGCTGCATTTTTCCTTTCCTTTCATACAGCGGGTACCTTTGAGATGAGCACCATCTCGCAAAATCTTATTTACGCTTTTAGCATGGAAGGAAAAGGGTGAAATCAACAATTAAGTGAAAATTTATAATATTGTATTATTTACAAAACATGAAATATCTCTAAGGGGGGTCAAAGTCGAATAAAAAAGGATGTATGAAAGTTTCATAATGAAACATATGTTATATTAATTTTCTTACCGATATGGACTATTTTCTTACCTTTGTCTTCTGCAGATTTTTAACTTCATCTTCCATACATTTGTAGTTTTACCTCCAGCGTTTTGCCATGTATTGTGACCCGGCCACATCATCCAGAGACACGTGTCAGGAGCTTGAAGATATCGAGGACGACACACCCAGGGTATTCTACAAATAGAGATTTTTATGCCTGTTTTCATCCAAAGATTGTTTATTTCTGTTAGGATTCGAAGAAAGATAAATTTTTCCAAAATCTTGATAATGTTTTAAAAGGGCGCTAACCATTAATACTTTATACTAAAAGTAGGGAAAATATTTATAAAACATCCTTCTCTGCGTAGATTTTGCAATTCATTTCTTCACATTCATTAGACTAGTGATTTAAGGATATTTTCTCCTAACAATGGATCAGGTCCTAAATGCTATTTGTACATGTATTGGAATAAGCATTCTTTCCAGATGACCACATTATTTGCTAGTATTCCCTATATTTTTGATTGTAATACTCCAGTATTTAATAAATATATGTACGTAAAATATATTTTTAAACCTTCTTTTGTAGACATACAAAGACCTGATGTTGTCAGACAAGGTATTTAGATATATATATAGCTTTCACTAACATTGCTGATTTTCTTTTACATAGATGCAAATAACCGAATTATATTGTGTTCTAATCACTCGATATATAGTCGTAAAATCCTAAGTTGTTTATCACTGTTCGTTCCTATAAAAATGATATATCTATTAAGAATCATCACTTTAATATATATGTAGCAATCTTTTGGGGCTAAAATCTAAAGCAGAATTTTCAGTAACATTTTTGAAACTGGGATTTTTTTTTTAAATTGACCGACTCTTAATTAATATAGTTGTTATCTACATGACACTTTGTTAAGATCCGAAATTTCTTATCATTTATTAAAACTGTTCACCTACAATTTTTTTTTCACATTGATGAAAACCACAAAATTTTTTAAAAATTGTTTTCTATTTGGTGGTGTAGACCTATATCTTATATACAGAGTAAATGTCAAATTTGTCCAAAAGCTAGGTTTCGATTCATTTACAAGATTCCTTTAAAGATGAATTCCTGACCTTTTATAGTAACTATTTGCAATAACGAGTGCACTTTTGGTGATGGATATCACTGATTTTACTTACTGCTTCTTGTTGGCTTTTCTCACTGCACTTAACCATAACACACATTTATATTTCTTTGATCGCCAGTAACATTTCCAATTCTCCAGCAACAACGTGGAGGATCCATTTGTTCCGGTCCATGTCAGGCGGTAAAAGACGGAAGACCGGTACATTCTATTTCCCTTTTTTCTCTCTTGATTTTATATGTCAGCAAGACTAGCCCAACTGACATTTGTTTTTTTTCTCCTTTAAAACGCAATTTTTTTTACTATCTACAGGGAAAACAGGGGCCACAAGGTCTTGCCGGAAAACCCGGGACACCTGGAGAAGCGGGACTTCCTGGAGAAAGAGGACCTGCAGGGAGAGACGGACAAGATGTACACCTTTTTTTAAAATATGTTTAAACTTAATTGAAAAAAAATTTAATGTCATATAATGAGGATGTAAATAGAAACTTACCAAAAATATATTTCATTATTTTAGGGCAGACCAGGGGAACCAGGCAAACCTGGAAAACCAGGCCTCCAGGGTCCAGAAGGAGAAAGGGGACCTCGGGGCTATGCCGGAAAGGAGGGACTCCCAGGAAAGCCTGTGAGTGTCTTTATCTCTCATGGAAAATTCATTTACTGCAATATCCCTTCCATTGAACCTATTTTATTGTTCTTTGTAGGGAATTTCAGGAAAAGATGGAAGTCCAGGACCAAGAGGACCACGTGGGGAAGAGGTTGGTATCTTCCCTCAGTTTTTTTTTAATTTCAACTACCCTGAATATTTCGACAAATCATACTTTTACATACTAGCATACTTGTTTATTTCATACACTGTCTTGTATTGAATAGGGTCCTCGAGGAGAACGCGGCGAGCCTGGACTGGAGGGACCAGCAGGTTCACCCGGAGAAAGCGTGAGTTCTTAACTTCTGTAGATAGATAAACAGGCGTGTTTTCAATGCACTAGTTATATTCTATGAAATTAAAACCAGGAAAGCATCTAAAAGGAACAATTTTAAGGTAGGGATATAATTTCTTAAAATCAAAATGGAGTCAAAATGAGTTATGTCTATACAATATAAAAGAGAAAAAGAAGATTACTTTGTAGATTATTGGATTCTTCAGCTTTTTATTTCTTTGCAGTGCCACTGTACACCGTTAAATGATTTATGAATAAACAACAGTAAATGAGAACAAAATTATCAATACATTTAATTTTCATGAACATGCTAAAAGAAAATAATCATTTAATTTTCTACGAGCATAGTATTATAAGTATTTCATTCCTCTTAGATTGCGGGCCCTGAAGGACCAGAGGGACCGCAGGGGTCACCAGGACAGCCGGGTCCACAGGTAACACCCGAATATAACCCCATTAAAGTTCACAATCAAATGTATTTGGGTTATTTTTCAAACTCAGTGAAAATACTGATTGAAAGTAATCTTGCAAACAAGACGTATTAAAAAATATTTTTACTTAATAAAACATCAAAAAATCAAGAAAGAGTTTATATGATACTGAATATTGCCATTTTAGGGACTTCAAGGGACACCAGGTCTACCTGGCATTACCGGGAAAACGGTAAGTTATTTTCACATCAATTTGGCTGATTTCTCATTAAATAAAATGACAAATTACTTTGCATCAACTTCAGACGTTGTCATTGCACGGTTTTAATGATCAGGGGTAAGATGAGTACGTGTGAACACGTGTTAACGAACCTCCAGCAATGTCGGGGATGTACCCGTTCTTTGATCAAATTTCTGAATTTCTTTTTTGCATTCTGACCCTGAGCTGAGGGTCCCGCTAACTCAGCCTTGGTACATGTATATGGAACACCGCCCTGTCACGCAATTCTGTGCTGGGTTCGATCTCTAATAGATAAATCGTCAATAAATCGACTTTTTGCCTGACCTAGCACTGTTAATATATTGATGCATGTTCAAGTGCATCTAAGTTTGTCAGATTGGGACATCTCTGCTATCTGTCTGGGATATCTTTCAACACCAGTTGCTCACCCATACATAAGATGAGGATTAAATTACGATAGAACATCAGAAAAGGGTTATCCTTTCATCAGGTTAATCTTTTAAAATCCTGATCATGTTACATTTATTGCACAGCCAATTTGTAGTTATTCACAGAATATTTAATGAAGTTTAAACAAGTTTGGGCTTCTTCATCAGATACCGACTATCGAAGTTTGATATAGTACGTAAACTCAACAATTCTTTTTTAATCTGACGTATTTTATTTGATTGCATTGCCATTTGATTTCCACATATGCTGATGTTTCAATGCCTTGATATAACACTGTCTTTATAATGGAGCCCATTCTGAACAAAGTGCTCTTTGCGAATTATTTATTAATCACAGAGTTGTTTTCCTTCTTATATACTAATTAGCATACCTTTCTCTGGTAACAGGGTAAAGATGGAGAAAAGGGTGACAAGGGCGACCCTGGCCAACCCGGATTACCGGTAGATACATATACTTTTAATAATAAACATCTTATATTGGTTAATTTATCAAATTTCTTTACTGACTTGATGATGTACAAGTTAAAACTGAGTTGAATGATTTGTTACAGGGAGCAACAGGGGCTCAGGGTTTACAGGGAGTTCCCGGACCCCCGGGACCACCAGGGGCATCGGTAAGAATATATCTAACCCCCTATCAAGTTAAAGTGAGAAAATAGACACAAGAAATTTTGTTACATGATTTGAAAATAAATTCTATTATTTTTCTTAGATAAGTTCCGTCGATGGAGAATCGGGAAAAGTACTACAAGTACAGGTACTGGCGTGGATACTTTTATTTTCTCACGATAAAAACGACAGATTATTGATTCCCCTTCTTATACATATGATTCATTTGTCATAATAGGGTCCAGCAGGTCCCGAGGGACCACAGGGAATACAGGGAAATCCTGGCTTACCCGTAAGTATATTGTCAATTCTGTAGCAACTGCTTTCTGTCCCTTTCATTCTTAGAGAAGAAAGCAGGTGTTTGAATATGGGTAATATACTCTAAAATCACTTATTTTCGAGAGGTTTACAGAACTGTCGATGGTTGTATAATACTAAATTCATTTACTTGAAAAGTATGTAAACACATGATGACCATGATATTTTTCTTAGAAATCTAATTTTTGTATTGTCGTGTTTTAGGGGTTACCTGGAGAGAAGGGAAGTCCAGGACAGAGGGGAGACAGGGTGAGTTACTATATAAAAAGAATAACGCTTTGTTTTACGTAGGTCGTGAAATACGGACAATCACTGACGATTTAACTTTACTCCTACTCTACTGGCATTCATCCTTCCGTTTGTATCTGTCATTTGTAGTTACTCTGGTTACTTGAAGTATTTTCGTTCGTTTCTGAAGTTATTAATTTGTTGACTCAGAGATCAACATCCATTACACACGTGGCCGTCACGGTAGCTCAGTCGGTAGAGCGCTCGTTCCGTGATCGGAAGGTCGTGTGTTCGAATCACGGCCGCGACTGACCTAAGTCGATAAATAATAGGTAGCAACTGTTCCTTCGCCAAGCGCTCGGCAATTTGAGGTGAGAGTTGCGGGTCCTTATGATGAGACTTTAAAGACCGAGGCCCCGTGTCACGGTAGGCGTTGGCACGATAAAGAACCCTCACTGCTAAATGGCCCTGAGTGCCGAGTAAAGGTCTAAATTTGAAGCCCGGTGACGTCTATATATGAGTGAAAAATTCTCGAACGGGATGTAAAACAACATACAATCAATCAATCCATTTCACACATTGATATTACTGTCTTTTGTTGGCGTGGATAATTCCATCTTACCGTCTTTTTCTTACTGCTGTCTTTTTTTAAAGTGGATATTGCACTTTCTGGCTTGCATAGAAATTACAATGTTTTGTTGACGTCGTTGTTCGTTACTGACGTGAATATCTCCATCTTTTGTTGACGCAGATGTTTTCATCTTTCATTGATATGGAAATTTCCGTTCCTTGTGTTCAATGTGCTGACGTCGATGTTGTCGAGTTGATAATGCCGTCCTTTTGTTTTCATCATTTCTATCTTTTGTGGATATTGCACTTTATATTGCAATCATCGTTATGTTTGTAACTGATGTTGGTACATGTATATCTATCTTTTGTTGTTGTAGATATTTCCATCTTTTATTGACGTTGAAAATTCTATTTTTCTTTTCTTTTTTAATTTAGATGTTCCCATGTTATAGATATTTCCATGTTATGTTGATGTAGATATTTTTACAGGTTATGTTAATGTAAATATTTCCATGTTTTGCTGACGTAGTTATTTCCATCTTTAGTTGACGTAGATATTTCCATCTTTAGTTGACGTAGATATTTCCATGTTTTGTTAATAGTTCCATGTTTTGTTGACGTAGATTTTTTTTTTTTGTTGACGTAGATATTTCCATGTTTTGTTGACGTAGATATTTCCATGCTTTGTTGACGTGATTATTCTATCTTCTGTTGACGTGGATATTTTGATGTTTGTTGTGGACATTTCTTTCTTTAATTGACATGGATATTTTCGTTCATTTACCGGGTATTGCTGACGTCGATGTTGTCGAGTTTTTATTTAATCCTATTGCAGTAGACATTCCACATCGTTACTGTGATGTAACTGCCTTTTATCGACTTTTCAAGATGCCTATTTTCACATGCATTATTTTATTTTTTTTTTTATGGACGCGGATATTGCATGGTTTAAGTTCATTTGAAGATCATCCTTCATTTCTATAAACTTAGACACGTCGCCCGCGTGGCGCAGTGGTTAGAGCGTCTGCTCTAGAGTTGCGAAGTAAGGAGTTGATTCGCGGGTTCGAATCCCACTGTGGGACGTGGAGACCGGTCCTTCGGATGAGACCGTATAAACGGAGGTCCCGTGTCGCAGTAGGTGCTGGCACGAAAAAGATCCCTCACTGCAATCTCTATCCAGAGTTATCGTTCCCGCTACGCTCCACTTATACCTCTGTCAACGTCTAAAAAGTAGTACGGAAGGCGGAGACGCGTGGCCTTTATCACAGGAAGATTAACAAGCGTATAACCTTCACTTTTCTGTATATGTGTCAATGCTGCAAGTTGTTTGTCTTTAAAAACTAAACCATGTTGATATTTGTCGGCAATGCTTTTTAAATTTTCCACGTTCTTCATATCTGTCTACGAGTGATGCAATATCCCGCCGAGAATAATCCCTTGTAAGATACGGTGATACAGATATATCTCTTTCTAATATTCATACATAAACTTTTCTTTAAATTTTAAAGCTAAAATATATAACTTTAAAATTTACAATTTGTTATGCAATAGGTCAGGATACGTTTTGCCAAGAATCTTGGCATTTAGACGTTAACAGAGGTGTTGTAGCGAAGCGTAATACGCCCTCTGGTGAGAGATTGCCCTCACTGCTCAATATCCGTAAGTGCCGAGTATAGGACAAAATTTGCAGCTCTCCACCGGCAAGTGGCGGCGTCTCCATATGAATGAAAAATTCTCGAGAGGACGTTAAACAACATACAAACAAACAAACAAAAATAAACTTAGACACTATAATCTTTTACCGAGGTTGATATTGCCGTTCGTCACTGATGGCAATTGTTGACATGTTGTTTCGTTATTATGATTTTTTTTTTTGGAATCTCAGTGACTTAAATATTGTCTTTAAAACTGATGTTGATATTACCATCAGTTGTTGACATGAATGAATGGTGATTGTTACTGTTACTCGAATTGTATTCTTTTTTCTGTCGTTGATAGAACACTAGTTTATGACTTTGAAATTGCCATTCGTTATTTGCGTTGATATTGCGCTGATATTGTCAACATGGATTATGTTGTTCGTCAGTGACAGTGATGTATAGTATTTCCCTTTTTGTTGTTGATGAAATATTAGAATAACAAGCGTTGTGCAAATACAAATCCTGAGCAGAGCAAACATGGACCTCTAAAAATATCAGAGGTGGGATCAGGTGCAATGGAGGACTGAGCATCCCCTGTCGACCGATCACACTCGCCGTGTGCTCTTTGTCACTTTTTCATGATCGGGGAGAAATCTGTAGTCAATTCAGTATGAAAATCGATGCCTTACAATTTGTATGAAAGAAGCCAGCCATCAATCGACCTAACGAAAGATTGTATTTACAAACAATATTATCGACCATAGAATTTGCGAAATGTTGACTTCAAACCAGTTTGTAGATACCCTTGTATCATCAACTTATTTGTCAGTAGCCTAATAATTCTTATACATTGGTATTGCTGAAATTTGTTAGGTTATATATAATTCCCTTTTTACAGACGTTGATTTCAACGTGTTTTGTTGATGTGAATATTGCTGCTCATTACTGACCATGATGTTGCCAATTTTTGTTGAAGTGCATATTTTGCAATTCGTTACAGATATTGATATTGCTGTTCTTATTGGCGTTCATTTCTAAAGATTATAGTAAACTATAGTATTGCAGTCTTTTTGCATCGTTATTATTGCCATTCGCTATTGGTGTTGACATTACAGAAGACAGACCTTGAATTTCTGTTCATCCTAGACGTTTATATTCTTTTCTTCAGGGTGAAATCGGAGAGAGAGGAGAACAGGGAGTTCCTGGAATTGATGGAAGACCGGTAAATATCTTGTTTATTTGTAGATATTGGAATTTTAATTTTCTTTCGTACTTAATTCAGTTGATAATGGAAACAAAATTAATACATTTTAGGGAACCGACGGCTTGCCGGGAACACCCGGCAATTCCGGAAAAGATGGCAAAATGGTTAGTGCGTTTCGTTTTACATTTTAAAATTTCCGATATAAGTCAGTTTTAAATAGTAATCTGATTTTTGAGTGATATCAAGAACAAGACTCTAATTAAAGGGTCCAAAAGGTGAAGCAGGCACGGATGGAGCCCCTGGGCTGGACGGAGTACCGGTAAGTTAAAAAGAAAAAAGGTTTATTAAAGTTATATCTAGAGACTATGATAATCTGAGAAAATATTAAGTTTGTTAAAGCAATTAGGAATGCGTAATATATTTCTTGTCTTGTGTTTAGGGAAAGCATGGAAAACAAGGCGAACCTGGAGAAAAGGGAGAAAGGGGGGAACCTGTAAGACCTTATAAAGATTCTTAAAAAATTCAAACAGTATTTTATCAGTTTTATTACTACATGGAGTATACAATTATCAATTATCAATATTAAATTGTGATTTATCTTTCTTCACCAGGGTAAGCCTGGACCCCCCGGACCTCCAGGACCAGCAATCTCCCCCTTTATGAGTGATGATCCAGTAAGTCAGAACCTATACGAGATGACCAAAATTTCCCAGCACATAATTATCTACATTTTTAAAAAATAACCCCTCATTCAGTTGATGAATTCATGTTCAAAATAGTGTTAAAGGTGTCCCCGAGTTAAAAATTTAATATTGTATTTGCGTTGAATGCTTGTAAAGGATAGGAATTGTAACTCTCTCTATAGTCTTTTTATATTATGGTGAGATTAAATTAATTTTTAATGGAATGAAAGTCCCTACTATATTTTCTTGCACAATGTATTATCACATATATTAGCAGAAAATTATCTGTTTTTTTTTTTTTCAGAATGCTATCATGGATTATGAATATAAATTCAGAGGCGAACAGGTTAACAGACGTTTTACAATTTACACACACACACACACATATCTATCTATCTATCTATCTATCTATCTATATATATATATATATATATAATGGTAAGTATATAGTAGTAAGTAAAGTTAATGTAAAATAATCATGCAGATTGTAACAGCAAAAATAAAACAAGAAAACAAGACCAATTGAATTAGAATGAGATGGCTGAAATAAAAACTGAAGACTACAAAATCTGATGAATTACCTTGTCTTTAGGGTTTAACCGGCCAACCTGGACCTTCTGGGAAAGACGGACGCCCCGGACATCCTGTAAGATATAATATTTCTCAATTCATGATGTTAACTACAATTTTATCTCCATCTTTGCGAAAATTTGACAATATGACTAAAAGAAAACCGGCATTGGGTTACTTTTTAAAGCTACAATAGATGAAGAATATCATGATTTATAAATAACATATGCTAGTGTTCATAAATTATTAGAAACAAATACTAAAACATTTATTTTAATCATATACTTACCTCGCTTTAGGGAAATCCCGGAATGCCAGGAGAGCCCGGACAGCCCGGAAGAGCGGTAAGATATTTTTTTTTTGGTTAATTGATGCTGAAGTTTCATTATCCAATGCCCAACTTTCGTTGTTTGCTTGGTAGGTTTTTTTATTTATATTGATATTAATATCAATATGTTTTCTTATTTTTCTATTATTTATTTATTGCTTATTTTACACAATTAGAAAAACAAACCAAGAAAAAGAAACTGTACTTAAGTTAATGACTTTAATTTGTTTCTGTTTATGATATTTTCTTTTTCTTGCGTGCTATAAGAACAACATCATTGTCTGTTCCAGGGACTAATGGGAGAACAGGGCGACCCTGGTGACGTGGGGCCACGGGGAATACAGGTAAATGTATTAATCAAGGTGAATCTTAAAGTGCAGAATGGCCTCTAAATGGATCAAACATTAAATTATAAAAAAGTAAATTTGTTAAATTGTTTGCTATTTTACACCACTATCAATGCGCAAACTTCACGGGTTTTTTTAAGTCGCATATAAAAAAAAGCCAAAATAGCAGATTTAAAAACCATGCAGTTAAATGAAACTGAATAGACTGTTTTCTCCTTTATAGTATTGCAGAACCCCATGATTAATTATTTCCTAACTTTTTTACGGGAGTGAATCGATAAAATCGAATTTCTTTTAAACTACAACATATGACATACCAATGTATTTTCTTTCGCTGTAAAACAATGTCTCTTCTATGTGCAACATGCCTGCAAAAGTCGCACCTGCAGTAACATCAAAAGGTTCTGAAGCAATTGAATGATCTGAAAGTAATTATTTAACTACCATATCTCTCGATCAAGGCTCGCTCTAATACAAATGAAGCTATGAATGAAATGTACAAGTGAAACTCGTGTCTAACATATATTCTGTAAAGGATGAAAGTAAATATACATACCTCTTCTTTAATCAAGCGTTTCTTAAAGAGATTCTGTAAATACGTATTAATTGGCAGCTAATCTGGAATAATTGAAATTAATAGTATATATGTTACAAGATACTTCGACTCATTAAAGGGAAAAAGAAAGTTGTTAACATTTACTAGTAGCTTATTATCTCTCTGAGATAATTTTTTTTAACAAAACTTTAATCTAATTAAACGCCAAATTATCACTGGTATAATGAAGATGGAAGTCTTACATACTGATCTGTAAAATAGAAACTCTTCTCAGTTCTAAAATTTTGAATGTCTAAGTATTTTGTAGATGTCAAATATGGTAGTCATTCTTAATAGACGCGTGCATTCTTTTTAATTTGCTAAACTATTTGTGTATTATTCAATTATGCAAGATTTCACAAGGTAGATATTTCGCTTTGTCAAATCTCCCTTCAAACATTCTTTAGTGTTTTGTTACAGGGACCCCCAGGCCTAAAAGGATCTCAGGGTGACCCCGGAATAGACGGAATGCAGGTATTACAATAATTAATTACTATTCTTTTGATATAGAATACTGAAATCGAAAAGGTCAAATAAAATGTATTCGTAAAAATCTTTTGATTTTTGGAATTTTTGGAATTGTGAAATAATTCACCAATAAATTGCAGCAAAATTCATTTTCACAAAATTCAATATCATTAGGATTTTATTTTCTCTGTGTAAAATCTTTTTGAAAGTCTTCACAGATGTTTCTCTTATTTAAAAGACGGAACAGTGTTGAAAGTGAAACTAGATCACAACCAATAAAAATGAATCAGAGACGGGGGATGAACATGACCAAATTTCACAGACAAACGTAGATTTTAATCTTTTCTTTGAGATTCTATCTCTTTAATTGAAATAAATTAAACATCTTTAATCCTTCCTTTTCTCTTTCTCATGGCGTTATAAAACCAGACACACAGGTCAGACAGCATCAGACACAATATTCACTTTCTTCCGATCATTCCAAAATGTGGCTCCGAGCACAAACTGTCATTTGTTTGTCTCTTGTTATATGTATCTACAGTGTAGAAGGTTTTCATAGAAAGGGACTCAAGAAAAATAAAAAGAGGAAAAATAAGGCTAAATCTAAAGACCGTTCGTCTCCAGTTTCTATATTGGATACTTTACAGGGGGATGCTGGCATGACTGGTGCTCCAGGCCCAAGGGGGGAACCGGGCAAAGACGGAAGACCGGTAATATTTTTTAACTAAATATTTGCATGTGTTATAGTTTTAAAGATTATTGAAAAAGTGTTATATCAGATTCTCAGTATTGTAATAAACGTTAAAATAAATAAAAGCAGAATATTTAACAAATATGCAGTCATGCATGCTGCATTAATTAGCAATCTGTGAATAATAATTGTGAGTTTCCTTAATTGATATACTTACCTATCCTTTTATAAGACTTTGAAGAATTTTGGTTAAAAATTAATTTTTTAATACCTATTCTAGGGTCCACAAGGAATTCAGGGAATATCGGGTCCAATGGGACCGATCGGTCCTATTGGACAACCAGGACCACCTGTAAGTAAAAAAAAAAGAGGAAGTCCCTAAAATCTCAAAGTCTCATTCTGCTTTTAAAATATGTAAAACTAAAAGATAGTGTAAAGAGTCTCTGCTCACTTTACTTCTCTATCATATTATGGTCATTGCAAGAAATTTTAGCACAGAAGGCGGTTATTCTAATATAATACTGAGCTTTTAATACTTTATTTTAAAAAAATACTGATGACTAAAATAGGTATTTGTTACTTTATCTAATGGAAATGCAATTTTCAAATTTTAAGAAGAAATAAAATTTGTTGTTTGGTTATATGCATGTGAAAATTTCACCATTCCCATACAGAACTTTAACATATGCTTGAGTGAATTGATGCGAGGATTTGCCATCAAATGTATGAATACTGAAAAAATCCACCTGTATATCAGTTGGCATATTGCAACTTTCCTATTGATAAAATGTTTTATGGTTTGTTTCTATCTTTCTAGGGTCCTCCCGGCCCTCCAGGACCAGTCTTTGATGTGGTAACTAACATTAATTCTGATTTGTAAATGTCACCATCGTGTCCTTATATTTTGTTCTTGTACTGAATGTTCAAAATTATGTCTATTTCTCTGTTACTGAATATTTATAACTTTGTCTATTTCTACGTTACTGAATGTTCATATAATTATGTCTATTTCTACGTTACTGAATGTTCATAATTATGTCTATTTCTATTTTACTAAATATTCATAATTATGTCTATTTCTATGTTACTGAATGTTTATAATTATGTCTATTTCTATGTTACTAAATATTCATAATTATGTCTATTTCTATGTTACTAAATATTCATAATTATGTCTATTTCTACGTTACTGAATGTTCATAATTATGTCTATTTCTATGTTACTAAATATTCATAATTATGTCTATTTCTATTTTACTAAATATTCATAATTATGTCTATTTCTACGTTACTGAATGTTCATAATTATGTCTATTTCTATGTTACTAAATATTCATAATTATGTTTATTTCTATGTAACTGAATGTTCATAATTATGTCTATTTCTATGTTGCTGAATATCCATAGTTATATCTATTTCTATGTTACTAAATATTCATAATTATGTCTATTTCTATGTTACTGAATGTTCATAATTATGTCTATTTCTATGTTGCTGAATATCCATAGTTATATCTATTTCTATGTTACTAAATATTCATAATTATGTCTATTTCTATGTTACTGAATGTTCATAATTATGTCTATTTCTATGTTACTGAATATCCATAGTTATGTTTTTTTCTATATTAAGTCTAAAATTAATTGTATAATTAAATTCGTTTACTTGTTTAAATTTCTGATTTTGAGAAATTCGGCGAAATTAATAGAAGACAGTTATATACACATTCAAAAATTCGCGAGTATCTATGAATTCTTGGTTTCTGGATTTCATGAAAACATCTTCTGGTATAGCGGAAAAAATATTATTCAATGAAAACTTTAAATATTAATATTTTATTGTAGAAATCCATTATAGGGGGCATGACAGATAGTAATGTACTAGGTCCCATGGGTGCCCCGGTAAGTTGTCACCAGCGACAAGGATATCCGGTAAGAATCCAGATGACGTCATCAAAGCCAGATGCTAGGTCAGAGTTTTCATCATATAGAGAATGGCTGCATATTTCTTACCCACCATTGTTGCCAGTTTTCCAAAGTTAAAAAATTATCACATATAGAAGAGAGTCCTTTCTTTAGATGGCTCAATTAAACTTCGAAACTTTCCATTAATAATCTATTTGGTCTTTGTCCTTTCTGGCAAATATTATAAAAAGTGTTCATGCAGGAAAGCTGGTATCTTTGATAATAAGTACATCCTAACATTAACCGACATGTTACCCTATAGAATCCTACATGTAGCTGTGCTATATTTTTTTTTAATTTCCCTTTGAACGTTGTATGCCATATTGAATGTTAGTTACTCCTTTCCCTCCCTCCCTTGCATGGTGCTTCTGTGCCTTCATCTGGATTGTTATCCCGGTATCACATGTTGTGGTAAGTGTGACGTGTACAGAGGCATGCTGTTTTTGTGAAGTGATGATTGGATAATTTATTCTCTTCTGTTTTACATGATTGGATGCATTGAATGACTGAACTTTAAGAGTAATACGATTGAGAGAGCTTTGATTTTCTGTTAAAAATGACAGTTATTTTGTAAATTCTATCATTCTGTCTGAAGAAAGACATCATTTGCTAACATACTTTCACAAAGTAATTTTAAAAAGTAATACTTTCATCAAAAGTTACCTAATATTATTTAATCTTTATTTGTTTTTATGTAATGTTTTATAATTAACATTTACATGTCTTTGAATGCAAAAGCCCATGCAAGACCAGTCATGCCTTGGCGGGAATCATTCTTACCTGAAAGCTGAAAATTTTCTTTATAAGTGAACGCTATTCAGTTGAATTTAATTACGTCTAATTGACTTTTCCAGGGTCCATCAGGAGCTCCTGGCCTTACTGGAATGGTAATTTTTTTTTATTTTAGTAATTATTTTATACGTTTATAGAAGAATACACACGTCATTTGATATTTCTACTAATGGGAGTTGTTGTCTTAATGTATGATTTATTTAACAGCCCGGTGAGCGCGGATCAACTGGTGAGAGAGGTCCGCCTGGATCAGTGGGTGCACCAGGAGTTCCTGGTATTTCCGGTCCTCCAGGACAGCCCGGACCCCCTGGACAAAGAGGACAAGCGGGTATGCCGGGAAAACCAGGTTTACCGGTGCGTATGTTACATTTTTCATAGAATAAAATTTATAGAGTACGTTTTGTAATATCTATCTACTTCCAGGAATATGAGAATTAATAAATGTCTAAAAGAATAATAATCTTACTTTTATAATTTCTCTTTGAAAGGGACGGATGATTCCAGAATCTGAAATAAGAGAACTTTGCATGAGACTTTTAAGAGGTATGATTGCAACATATTTATGGGAATTGATATTTACAAGTAATATCGCATTCCACCCCAATCCACTCTCATTGATATGTAATTAAAATGTTTATATAGCTGGAATCTAGTAGGAGGTCCGTAATTCACGTTATATTTTATTTTTTTAATTTTTTTAACTAGAGAACTTTGAAGAACTTGTTGAGGGACTGCGGGGACCTCCAGGACCACCGGGTGTGGGTAAACCTGGATCTCAAGGACCACCAGGCCGAGTTGGTGCTCAAGGTAAAAAACCTTCCCAAGAAAATTAAATGGATTTGGTTTATTTTCTTTATTAAGATATGCTTCAATTCAGTATCCTATATATTAGATAGTTCTTGGTTCTTTAAAGTATATAACTAAAAAAATTCATGTACAGGTGAGCGTGGATTACCTGGACCGGCAGGTGAGCGAGGATTTGTAGGAATGCCAGGTCTTCCAGGACCCATGGGTCCACAGGGTCCCCCAGGACAAGAAGGTCCAAAAGGTGAAAGGGGAGAGGTAGGGGAAGGAACACAGGGTAAACCAGGAAATCCAGGAATACCAGGTAAATACCTGTTGTTGTTTTCTTTCTTAAAGAAAGTATACTGCAGATCACTTTTTTATTCGCGAGAACTTTATTTCCGCGTAATTACGCGAAACTACCTGCTCGCGAAAATTTAATTCTCGCGTATATTTGTATTACCAAAGATTATAAAGAACAATAACTAAAATTCGTGTAAATTATGTCTTGCTTACAAATACCAAATGACCCTCTAGCAGAAATAAAGTGTCGCTAAAATTTGGTCATCTACTGTATCTGTGATTTTTTATGAAAAAAAAAGTACGAATATGTCGTTAATGTTGTTATTATACGTACTCGTGTATTAAGTTAAAAGTTTCTATAGAATAATCTGTTCATAAACATTATAGGACCCCCAGGTCCACCGGGTGAGGGAGTAGTGGGTCGACCAGGACAGCGTGGAAGTCCCGGAATAGGAGGACAGCCGGGTCGTCCAGGACCCCCAGGCAAAACTGGGCCCCCAGGATATTGTGAATACTGTAACTTTGCACCAGGAGCTAGGTCTCCGGACTATATACAACTAGGACCAGGACGCCAAAACATCAAAGGCTAAAAAAACCATCTCATTTGTGAATTCCGTATATATGTGATATCATCTGTACTTGTGCGTTTGTTAAATACCATCTTTTTGTACATCAATGTTAGTGCTGCTTCCGTTCATATATTTAATTATGTGTCCACACGATTTAATTGCTGTAGATGTTTCATAGGTTGCTTGATTTCTAGTTGTAGTTTATACTGTGAGGCCAGTACCCGTTACTGATTCAGGTATATCAATCTCTAAAATATCATTTCCTTTCTTTTTCATTTTTTTCTCTTTTTATTCCTCTACTGAAAGACTTGCTGCACAAATAGTTAATTATATCGAAATAATCTTATGGGTTTTAAAAACTCTTTTGGGTGTTTATAAGTTGTATATTTGTGTTGTGCTTTCCTTTTGTTTGATATATTTTAATTTCTAAAACGTGCCATAAAATGTGTTTTTGTATTAGCACAATGTAACTATATTTGTTATATATTTATGTCGCTTTGCGGTAAAAATTCAACACGGTCCATTATGCATGCAAGTAAAAATATTTAAATTTATTTTGATAAAAAAATATATCTAAATAAATAACTTTGAAGACTTTTGAATTTCCACTTAATTTAATGAATTGATGCTAGATTTTTTTGAATATTTATGAAGAGGTGTACATTACTAATAAACGGATCTCTTTTTCACCAAGTTTTAAAATAACTTTTTGTTTTCATTCACGAGTGAAGCTATAGCATCTCTGAAAGTTAGATAGTTAGTGCACGAACGTTCTGATTAACATAAGTAGGTCTGAAATTCAATGCTTCGTCAACTGATTAAAATATTAACATAGGATTATAGAAAATTTGAACCATGTGCAGATATAATGATGTACATTTCTTAAAAGATCTTATCCATTGACAAAGGGTTGCAAACCATTTATAACTTTAACCTTGGTCAGAACTTTTGAATGAGAAAAGATAGGGCTTTTGTAATTACCTGTGACAAGACCTTTCCAAATATACTTGTAATGATTTTTCACCCCGTGACCTTGACATTAAAATTTCACCTACTTTTCAAAAATTTAATAATTACGTGTGTGAAAGGTTTTGGTGGTAATGTAGATGCAATGTACTAAATCAAATATGGCCGGGTAGGATGCGATCGCAACAGGGAATCAGAGTTTTACATGGGACAATATAGAAAATAAATTTTGAAAATTGTCTCAGGAACTACGATTGCACCATTCAAATATGCAAACATTCCAAAGTTGAGTGGATTCATCTCATTTTCAAATAATGCATCATTGGTTAGAATTGGCTAAAACAGGGATTAATTTTCAAATAATGCATGTATACAGGAAAAGAATTTGTTTCTCCTTAATGCAAGGCGATGACAGTCATAATGACAATGAAGCATTACCATGTTGTGCGAATATAGAGACCTTTAGAGTTAGAGTGGGGCTATAATATGGGCTCACGATTTTTCATGGGAAAATAAAAATCTTTTTGGAAATCTGACGAAGAACAGCAGTGCTAAATTTACTCAGGTGAGCGTTGTGGCCTATGGGCCTCTTGCTCTGTTTGTTGGACATATGCGCCCATTTACACATGGAAAGCAAATTATATATACGTGTATTTTAGCACATGCAAAAGGGAGTAAGCAAGATAACCTTCTGCTGTGTCAATAAGTTCTGATATTATTGTCCCTCAATTTCGCAAAATCGAGGGGACATAATATACCATTGGTCTCTCTGTCTGTCACAAAAACTTTAACCTTGGTCATAACTTTTGAATGAGAAGAGTAATTACCTGTGACAAGACCTTTCAAATATACAATGATTTTCACCCCGTGACCTTGACATTAAAGTTTGACCTTCTTTTCAAAAAATTAATTTAACCTTGGTCATAACTTTTGAATGAGAAGAGATATTGACGTTTGACCTACTTTTCAGAAGTTTTAACATTAGATATAATTTTTGAATGAGAGAAAATAGGGCCTTCATATTTCACATGTACATTACCTGCGACAGGTCGTTTTTCAAACGTTTTTAACTCCGTGACCTAAACCTTGAAGTTTGACTTAATTTTCAGAACTTTTAACATCGGTGATAACTTTTGAATGATAAAAAATACAGCGTTCATATTTGACCTATGTGTTACATGTTACAACATATTTTCGAACGTGTTATTATTTTAACCCTGTGATCTTGACCTTGAAGTTTGACCTCATATTTAAAACTTTTATCATTACTGCTAAGTTTAGAGGAGACAAGATAGGATATTCATATTTGACATGTGCATTACCTGTGACAAGACGTTTTCAAATATACTATTTTCTTTAACCCTTGATATTGAAGTTTTAATAAGTTTCAAAAAAAAAAATTAAGATTGCTGATAACTTTTTTTCTTAAATGAGATAAGGTATGTCATTTATATTTGACATGTGCATTACCAGTGCCAAGACCTTTCCAAATAAACTATGATTTTTATTCCATTACATTGACCTTGAAGTTTGACCTAATTTTCATTTTTTTTTTACATTGCTTTTAACTTTTGAATGAGACAAAATTATCCTTTATATTTGACATGTGCATTAGCTGTTTCAAGACCTTTTCGAATGAACTCAGGTTTTTGACCTTGACCTTAATGCTTAACCTACAGTCTTTTCAAATTTCTTTACATTGTTACATGTACTGTAATAACTATCGAGAGAAGATGGGACTTTCATATTTTACAAGTACATTACCTATTAAAAAGAATTTTTTTTTACTTCATGACCTTGACCTAGAAGTTTGACCTACTTAACAACTTTTTTTAACTTTGGCCATAACTTGTGCTCCAGAAGAGCAATGTGCATTGCTTGTAACAAGACCTTTCGGATTGTAATTATATTTGACCTTATAACCTTGCTCTTGAAGTTTGATGCATTTTTGAGAAGCTTTAATTTTTGTCTTAACTTTTAATAATTCAAAAAGTTGGGGGGGGGGGTTGTATGATGGACAGACAATACATCACACACAAACAAGACAGTTACAACCAGTAAGACTCCAGAAGTTGAAAAACAATTACATTGTACATAAAGAAAACTCCAAAAACAAGTAAGCTAAAGCTTCGTTTACATGCGCCCATTTACTCGGATATAAGTTTCTCTCAAATGCAAATTTTATTTCTGGTGTGTAAACTAATTTGTGCCATGCGTTCACATGCATTAGCAAACACCATATTCTTCCATGCAGTTCCCCTTCTCGTCATTTTTGTTAAAATGCTGCTTTAAAATAATATTTGATCTTATTTACGTAGGAGTACGTCACTGCTCTTTCTAATATGGGACATGCTGCAGTGTCTTAGGAAACGATGTCACATTTTTAAGACAATTTTAAGACAATTTCGATATGTACATGTGGATTAACTTTTTTTTTTTTACACTTTTAATGACTGAAAATACACCAGAAGCAAATGTACTCTATTTGCACCTAGACTAACTAGATGTAAATTTTCATAAGGAGTAAAAAATACGTGCAAATCTTGCATAACCCCCACCCCCTTACATGCAAATATAATAATTTGCTCATTGCTCATCTGTTGTACATGGGGGCATTTGCGCATTTAAGTATTGTATGAATTTTAAAAAAAATGACCAAACACATAATTATTAACCTGCACTGAAAATCAGGCTATATGAATAAAATTCTATGGCTCAGCATCTGTCTTTTGATACTGGCTAAATGCCTGCAAAATAGTTCATTGATATCTTAAGACACAAAAAATGTCCAAAGATGATGCTAAAAATGTCAGGAGTGCAACACCTTTTTGTGGTATTTGAAATTTCCATATTTTTTGAAGATCTGTTTCATACATATTTATGATTTGTATTACAAAATAAAGATTTTCCTGATAAAATTCAATATATTAAGCTTTAAATATAGATATAGTAACTTCTGCTTGACCAAGCTATGATCATGGCTGATTCTTAAAAAAATGTTATACCATATCAGGAGTGCAGCAGAAAAAATGTAATGATGCCCCAAAAAAACACTGACTTTAAATATGTGTATGAAAATTAAGTCAAAAAAATTGTCAAAGTGTAAAACCATTTAAAGATTCAAAATGTTTAATGTATCGCAAGCAGCATAAACGAGAGTCAAGTACATGCATCTGTACAGACCCATTTATGTCAGGAGTGCAACATTTGATGTTTTGTTCACCAGCTTGGACAAACCTTAATCAGTATATATTTTTTTTACTTTCTCTTTTGGAAAATAAGAACACAAGGAACATTTTTACCAAATAAATCTGTCATTTACAGGACCTGTCTTGTCTTGGATCCATATTTCCATGGTCAGGAGTGCAACACATTTTTTTAAAGATCCAAGTTCAAAGATGAAATGACTTCTATTCATACTCTAATAAGTATTATTTGACCATACTCTAATAAGTATTATTTGGCCAATAAGTATCTATTAGAATAATTTAGTACTAATTTGATGAAAGTTTTATTATTGAAATCTGTCCTTTTTCAATTTTATCAATCCAGACGTGTTTTTCTCTTTTTTGCTAATGATATGAATAATGATTCATATATCATCTTATGTAAAACTTCGGCCCTCTGGTGTGCCCCCCACAATTTGAACAAACTTGATTTTACTACACCTAAGGTTGCTTCTGTATAAATATGACTAATAATGGCATACTTGTACTTGTTTTTGAGGAGAAGAATTTTCAAGATACATGTATTTCCTATGTAACGTATATGGTCAGATTCTTACAAGGAATATATAGGTTTTCCTTTTACTCTGTCTGAGTTCAAGATAAGAATGATTACTAAGACCACTGTGTCTGAGGGTAAATCACACAGAACTAAACTAGACACGGGGACTGGGTTAGGTACTACTTGCACCGTGTTTCTCCCCTAGGTTCTCATTGATAAATAAGAACCGGGTGTCTCAATCTACTTCGGATTTACTACACCCAGAACTTAACATCAATTCCCTAGGATACTTACCACTGGTGTTTATAACTTTCATACTTTTATTTGCTCTTATCCTACCTTTTCGTTGCTGTTTCAACGGCCAACTTCTGAATGCCCGACTTTTCCAAACCTTTGCCTTATATACCCTTTGGCTAGTCCATTCCAAGGATTGTCAGGTCATTCCACTATTTGAAGTCTTCAATGCGTTTAAGGCAAATTTCCCATAACCATTACAACTATATATTCCTATATAAAACTTTGACCCACTGTTGTGGCCCCGCCCTAGCCCTGGGGATCATGATTTGAACAAACTTGAATCTAATCTAGAAGAGGATACTTCTGTATTAATATGACTAATTATGACTCAGCTGTTCTTGAGACGAAAATTTTTCAAGATATTTCCTATATATTCGTACTAGATAAAATCCCGCGCAAGCGCGGGGAATTGAATTTATACCATTACCGACAGAAAAATTCCAATTATATATATTGTAGTTTCTACTGACAGCCTACAGGCTTATAGCTTGAAAGTTTTGGAGCAGAAGTCGATGTGCGCCTTCAACCCCCCCCCCCTTTTTGTAAAAACTTGAAAAATAATTTCATTTTAATATTGACGTTTATTGTGAAACCTGGTTTAATATGTCACGGATATTGCACTTCAGGTGCTCTTATTTCATTTCCGTCACGGATAAAAGCAGCGAATATGCACATTTTACTTATAAATTGATTTTTTCTTTCTTTTTGTTGTTGTTGTTGTTGTTGTTGTTGTTGTTGTTGTAAAAATTAGCTTTTAACGCCCTATGAATAGACCGAGTATTTGATACAAAAGACTGTATTCTAAAAAAAAAAAAGGTGAAATGTATTGATTAAAGCACAAAATTTTAACAGCTTTAATTGTATTTGAACAATACTTTATTCATTAATTTTCTTTTTTCATGTAAGCAACTTTATTACGAAGTACAAATTGTACTTCGGGTTCGTTGCCAGATGCTCTCTCAGTGAGGAATATACAAATTTTACCGATAAATTTATTAGGAAAACCTACTAATCGTCTTTCGATATACAATATATTTACAACTTTTAGTGTTATCAATGATTTACCATTATTTAAGAAATAAACAACGTTATTCAGTGAACATGGCGTTATGAATAGCAATTGCTCTGCTGGCATATTCCATGATGCGCACTAGTGAACTAGATTTATGAGTATATTATGCCGTTTTGAAAAAGTACCCCAGCATCTACATGTAAATGCTTACTCTGTCATTTGCAGCATTATATAGCAAAACTTTCCTATCAGCAAATGCATTTCTAAAGTAATGCCTAAGCTTTTAATATCAGTTATCAATTTTGGAAGTAAACATATTCTACAATTTACGTATTAACAAATCATATAGATGGTTATAATTAAAAGGGGATCAGACCACTGGAATTAACAATCCTCATTGTGTTTACTCTGGGAAACCATTTCTTACTTCCAAATAATGTTTCTTTTTTCAATCACTTTATTTTCTTCACACCATTTCTGATCACACACACAATATCCAATCTATTAAAGACGTCATTTGGCACAATTCTATATTCATATACACCGTATTCCATAGTGCATCACATAATACACACCATTCAGTCATTCTGGTAAAAAAAAAAGGGGGGGGGGCATTTTCACTCACTTATCACAAAACATTAACACAACTATTTCTTTGTGTCTTCTGTCGTTTTTTCTAGCACTCGTTCAATAACATAATCTTCGCTCCTGTAAAAAGATCATTCAAAATGTAAGTACTGGAAGTACTGGAAATGACCGCAGAATTTACCGCAGTTGATACTGTAAGTGTATATTTTTATACCTTGGAAAATATATCTTTTAAACTTATTATTCTTTGCAAATTTCAGTGCAAGGCTATATATACTTATTAATATCCTTTAAAAAAATTACTTCATAATAAAAAAAAAATTGGAGCAGATTCATGGGGAAAAAAAAATTGCAGCTCATGGTACTGGTCTTTTTCATCTGAATTTGAGGACTATGTACAATACTGTTTTACTCTCATTAGCAATATTGTTAGATCAAATCCTAGCACTAGTGATTTTTTATTTATTTATTTTTTCCTGTTATCAGACAATGCAGCACAAACATTTTTAAAAACCTCAACATTTTCTTATCTTTAAAACAGTTGGTATTTTACTTTGACTTACTTGATACTTTAATAGGAAGGTATGTTTACAAAAAAAAAAGAAACTCACCAGTCAAACAGTTTTGGGAATGACTGAATTTCCTCTGCAGTGTATTCATCTAAACATTTAGGAATTATTTGTATTTGTGGTATCTGATCACAAACATTGCCAAGGATTTCAGGGGGTACATTCTAAATGAAAATGACTCATGATTAGCTTTACAAGTAACATTTCAAGTGAGGATTCCCTGTTCTTGAGTGCTTGTATTGGATAATTTAAAACAAATATGACATCAATTTCATAATGTTTTACTACTGTTTTACAGAAATTAATACAAATGTACCTAAAGTAAGTAATAATCTATTATATATTCTGCACATACATGTATGCCATGACTGAAAAGCTTGAAAATAAACATGATGGAATTCAGATACCATCACTGATATACTTCAGTACTATAAATACCTCAACAACTGCTTGATTTTGAAAACTGTTCACATTTCTGATATAAATACCTCGTCTGGATAGATGTGAAGCCTTCTCATGTATTTCCTCCTCAACAGAGTACCAGGTAAAGTTCTATAGACAGCCTTCTCCACAATCTACATGTACAAACAAGATTTTATATCTGATGAAAATCAGAAAAAGCTCTGTATGCCTTATACATTGCATTATACAATTACATGTTCATTGTTTTCAAATAAAAAATAATTTTAAAATTATACTTAGTTTGAAAAACCATTTAGCCTAGCTGTTTCATAATCAAAAACTAGATGTGTTGTAATGCCACGAATGCCCCTGCAGCCAGCCAAAATTTTAAATGCCATTTTTAGTTTTAATTCATATTCAAACTTGACCTGTATTTCCTGGTAAAGTACTTGCATATGCAATTTCAACCTTATACGTACATCCCCACAAAAGTTAGAGAGCGGAAACTGAAAATTTCTTATTTTTTTCTAAGTTCAACAGGGATAACTCTGTCAAAAATCATCGGACTATGACCAAATTCGAACTTGATTTGCATATTCCGATGATGTATCTGTATGTTCAATATGAGTTGAATGTGTGCAACTGTTGCACAGATAATGAACGAAAAGTGAATGATGAAGGAGCGACAGAATGACAGAACATGGGAACACTATATGCCTCAGCCATTTCATGGTGGGGGCATAAAAAATTGACTAGATTGTTTTCAGCTGAAGGTCCTTCTTAAATATGCTGAATTTCACTATCGGCTACGTTTAAACATTCCAATTAACAAACTGGGCTTAAAATAAACACGTGAGTGAGAAATGCAAATGCATTTAGATCATAACTGACTTTTTCAACCAATCACCAATTGCTTAATCTCCTACTAACTGATACGCTTAATTGGTAAGAATTTTTATGTTCAGAGTCACTTGTGATTTTTCACTGACAACTTGGAAAAAACAAAGATGAAAGACAAATGATATTAGATTAATACAGAACTCTCAATCACATAATGAATGTTATGTTTTAAGTAAGTTAAATTACATTAAGTAAAATTTTGGCAATTAATTCTTCTACATCACTAAGATTTTACTTAATATGATCTAACTTTTACACGGATACCTCTAGCCCTGCAGCTATATGTTCATTAATCCATAGTTTGTAACATTTATGATAAAAGCACAAGGTTCTTCTTAAATGGTTTTAGTGCTACATGTACAGTACATCAATGATAATGAAAATTGTAGGCAATATTGTGAAATCAAAGCATTTTAAAGGTGCTTAGACACAGATTTGAAGTTAATATTTTCTCAAAATTTCTGTATAATATCACGACTTATATATTGCAGTAGCATTTCACACGAAAATATAGTTAAAAACTTATTTTATCTGGAAATTATTGGAACTACGAATTCCTGGACGCGTTTGATTAACACATCCTTGCACTTTCACAAATTTTATCTTTATCCTTAATATTTAAGAAAAGAAGCGATTTTGTTTTGTATTAATGAAAAACATTACATCTATAATCCAGAAAATTCAGAGTAGAAATGTGCGAGAGCAAACCCCCTCACTAATATCGTCAGCCCGTGCTCAGTGTTGTGTACAGAGTTTAACAAATTGAATACACCCGTGAAACGTAAACTGTTTCTGTAAACAGGGCATGAGCTCTGTTATTGTTAATGTTTACGATTCACCGGGTGTGTTCAATTGTTAAAGTCTGCACACACCACTGAACACGGACTGACAATACTGTGAGTGGGTTTTGCTTTCGAACATTTCTACTCTGAATTTTCTGGATTATAGTTTTAATACTTTTCATTAATACAAAACAAAACTGCCACTTTTCTTCAGTATTAAGAATAAAATTAAAAATTGTTAAAGTGCAAGGATGTGTCAATCAAACGCATCCAGAAATTTGAAGTTTCAATAACTTCGAGATGAAATAAGATTTTTATTATATTTTAGTATGAAATGCTATAGCAACATATAAGTCATGAGATTATACAGAAAATCTGAGAAAATATTAACTTCAAATATGTGTCCAAGCACCTTTAATGACAAAATTTTGTGTAAACATTTGTAAAAGCTATATTTTAGTATAATTTAAGTAAAACTCATCATTTTTATACATATATGGAAACCATATTTTGTTTGAAATTAATTTTCAGGAGATAAAATTGAATATTACAAACAAACCATAGTTGGTTCCATTGAATGCAATCTCCAAGCAGGTGTTCTTGAAAAGCCTCTAGCATATCTGGAAGAAAAACATGAATATTCATACAGATTTGCAATGTTCTAATACATTGATTACATTTTTAAAATCAGTAGCAGTTTCTATACTACTAGTATTTATTTTTATGTTGTGAAATTACATTTTCATTTCATTATTAAAATAAGAAGTTTATGTGTCTCCAATTGAAAAGAATGTAAGATGGATTAAGTAAGACCTAATGTTATAGATGCAATTGAATCAACAGACCCTGTGTGATGACTGAATGTAAATGTTCTCCACAGCTGCTCCCTCAAAGCAATGTGACGAGAATTAATGACCACTACATGATCTCCTACATCAGCTGGAATATTATTATTCAAAATACAGATATAAATTGTAGAAAGTCTGAGCTTTTTGTCACTAGAAAAACGTATATGGGGTTAATTTTGTCCCATGTTACTTTTCCCCTTTCACAATTGCAAGTAATTTTGCCCAATTTTAATTCACCCAGTAACAGTTTTGTTTAAGAAATAATACTTTGTTCTTTGAATTCAGCCCGCTTTAAAAACGCCCACCTGTGGAAAGGTGAATGCGGCGAAAATAAAACAAGGGCAAAAATTTCCATGTATACAGTAAACAATCATGCATACTACTATTACTAGATTTTAAAAAAAACAACAAGAGGCCCAGGGGCCATATTGCTCACCTGAGCACTTTGGCTAGGAAAAGGCAGAAATCAGTCTTGAAAAGTTTAAATATAAAAGTGGTTCGGGGTGGGTGGGGGTGGTTGGGGTGGGGGTTCTAATTTGAACTAACTTGAATCTTAACTTCCTAAGGATGCTTTTTAATTGATATGACACATAATGACTCTGCTGTTCTTAAGAAGAATTTTTTTAATTGATATATCCTTTATATTCCTTTGTATAACTATGGTCCCCTGTTATGGCCCCTCTATTCTCCTGGGGGTCATAATTTGAACAAATTTGAATCTACATGACCTGAGGATTCTTCTATTTAAATGTGACTAATCATGGCTTTGCTGTTCTTGAAAAGAAGATTTTTAAAGATTTTTTCCTATGTGTTCCTATGTATAACTTTGATTGCCTATTGTGGTCCCATCCTTCCCCTGGGGGTTATGATTTGAACAAACTTGAATCTACACTACCTGAGAATGCTTCCATATAAATATGACCAAGCATTTTTAAATGATGCCAATAATTTTTTAAGAATTTATAATTATCTCCCCTTGGAAGAAGGAGTGGCACTTCATTTGAACAAATTTGAATCCCCTTTACCCAAGGATAATTTGTAGCAAGTTTGGTAGAAATTGGTCCAGTGGTTCTTTAGAAGAAGATGAAAATGTAAAAAGTTTATGATAACGCCAACGACAACAGACAAAATTCGATCAGAAAAGCTCACTTGAGCCCTCAGTTCAGGTGAGCTAATGAGGAGTTCAAAAAAATTTTAATTTTCTATTATTAGGATACTTATTATGAATGACATACTTCTACCATAAATTCAGAAATCACACATTTTATAATGACATAAATACATTTGAAAGTCCCAATTACATTTTCTTTATGTATTTAAACCTCAGTATCTCAAATCTCAAAGTTTTTACTCAGACCCTTTGAGGTTTGAGATAATGTTGTTTGACTGTAGTCAAAGATAACAAAATAAAATATTGATATCCGTGACATAGGCACTTGTTTCGGTAACAAATTTTTTAACCCACAGAATAATAATAACACAAGGTATCCACCTCTGTCTGAATAACATGAAGTACCTCCCTCCCCAGAATCGCACTCATTTACCGGTACACTTTCAGAGGAAATGTACTGGCAAACTTTTTATTACCACTGTATTCTACAATAATTTATCTCTACAATCATATATAACATGCTTGTCTTTATTTTCTTTTATCTCTGTAAACAGAGTCAAAACTCTGCTCACAAAGTGGAAAAGTCGAATCAACACCATGAGATGGTATGTGCTAATCCCAAGCAGACCTGCAGACCCATATTAGGACCTTGACACCATTCTCTTGGTAAATCACTTTCTATGTTAAAATGCTTTGAATTAATATCAGAGTATTTTATATATGATGGATATATAAGCTTAGAAAATTAGGTCCTAATATAGGTCTGCAGGACAATATCAATTTAAAGAAAAGACATTTTATTTTGTTTTTAATATACATACACAGTGCATGGTAGATTGGTTTGTGTTTTCCCTGTAAATATCCAGCAATGAGCCGAGACGACCTGAATGGACACTGGTATTTAGCATCATATAGCCACCAAATTCGGGACATCGTAGACCATTGCTAAAACAAGAAATTTTTTTTGCTAAATACCGTTACTGTACTGGTAAGTGTTAACTAGTGTATAGATAGAATGTTCTATCGTTAAAATGATAAATGTCCTACGGACTTGGTTTAATGATAGAATGCATTCCGTGTATTGTCAATGTTGCAAAGAAAATACGGGAGATAACTCTAACTCAGTGCATTTACTATAAAAAATCCCGAGAATTCCGTCAACATGGTGTGTAAATTTGAAACGAGTAAAAAACCTTGGTGAAAAAGTGTTGAATTCTTCCATTATATGGATTAAATTTTTAGACGAAAGGTATCTACAGTCTCAAAAAGGTTTGTTATGATTAATTTGACTGTTATTTTCAATGCAACTTCATTAATTTTCTCCAAAATCGTTTCGGAGCGATTCTGCAATTTTCTGCTACATTACGGGTATATGAGAGGCATTCTAACTGTGATGAGGGCCTGTCACGAGACACAGTTAGATTATTCTAACTAACTAGTGTACATCAGCTGTACATGGCTTGAATATTCATTGTTTTAAAATTCTTGCAACTTTAAGAAAATTTGCAAATAATGTACTCACGACAACTCTATTGTGGGCCATTCTCCTACTTTTTTTTATTCTATAAGGAGTGAGAAACTTTCCATTCAACCCCAGACACGACAAGGACTTCTGTCTCCTCACTGAGTCTCCTGCTTTTACATGCTACTTCCGATGTATAAACTTCAAGATAAGTCGAACCTAAACATATTCTTACATAATAGCTTCAGATGCATTATAACAGATATATGTGGACTGAATACTTAGTGTATTTAGACATATTTAAATTTCATGTTTTAATATCAGTATGTAAGAGCGGAACTGCCACAATTTATGACCATATCCTGTCCTTGAAGAGTCATCCCCTTCGCCAGTAAACGCAAAGGTCTGAGTGATACAAACTACCCCTTCGCTTTTTAAATCGCCAGTTTTCAATCGTTTTTCTATTCCTAATGATTCAATACATCTTCCGATCACAACGTTCATTGAAATTTTTAGTATTTAAATTTTCATTTTAAAAAAATTGCTTGTCCATACAGACTTCAATGCAATCTTTATTGATCATTAATACTGCTTAGTTAATTACATTTTTGAAAAGTTATCTTGGTAAATTCCATTCTACTTTAAAATGCTTTGAATGAAATATGAAGATAACGAACATACGGAAGCGTATTAGGGCCGCAGCAGTATCTTTTATTAATTAGTTTTAACAAATTACTAATTTGTTATAATAAATTACTAATTTGTTACTAATTTGTTATAACAGATTAGTAATTTGTTATAACAAATTGATAATTTGATATAACAAATTACCAATTTGATATAACAAATTAATAAATATCAATTTGTTGAAACAGATTACTAATTTGTTATAACAGATTACTAATTTGTTATAACAGATTACTAATTTGTTATAACAAAATGAATAAAATATATTTTAAACTAAACTACCGTTCCTAATGCATAAACCTGAATCTGCTCCTCTGGTGAACCTCCTTGGCTCCAGTTTACGCTGGGGGCAATAAAGGCAACATTGACAAAAATGAATTTGTAGATAAATTATCACAGAAAAAAATGATAAACACTCTGTAATAACCTTCTCTGAAAATAAACAATATTCTTAAGTGGGTAGTACTTCGTAAAATTTGAATTTAGATACCTTGTGAAATTTTTTCATGTATGTATGTAATTTTTATAATCAAAATACGTGCCTTTTGGAAAAGCCCTCAAAGTCCCACTAAAGCCTTCGTAACTTATTATTGGCTGAAAACTTTGACAGTTGTTTCTTCAAATTCATTTGTAATTTGTATCCTGGTTGTCTCATATAGGACTACTCATATATTTTACAAGAAATCGTTAAGCAATATAATTTGTTATAACAATACACACAAAATATTACACATGTGTAAAGAAGGAAAAATTAGGTCTTCTTCCCTTTTGACCCCTGTGTTGACATTGAAAAAAGTGTTGATTTGAATGGACGACGTTGAAATCATACTTAATTGTCCGGAACTTCGAATTTTTCTCGAAGGATCCAACATTCTGTATTTCTTCTACATAATCCCTGGGATGCAGCTATTCTTTTATTTGTCTAACAGAGACATCTATTCCAAGGAACTGACTCAAAAAAAAACAAAACAACAACAACAACAACAACAAAACAAAACAAAAATTAAAAAAACCCTGCAATTAAACCAAATTAAAGTGCTTTAATCTAAGTTGCTAATTCATCTAAATCCATATTAACATATTGATCAAAAGCTCTCCAAAGCTTATGCTTTACGTTTTCATAAAACCGATTTAAAATAAGATTTCTGGTCTGAACTGATCTGGCTTCTGTAGATCTGTATTCACCTTCATATTTTGTCAAAAATAGTAATTTTTTAAATCAAATTACTAATTTGTTATAACAAATTAATAATTTGTTATATCAAATTAATAATTTGTTATATCAAATTAGTAATTTGTTATAACAAATTAGTAATTTGTTATAACAAATTGATAATTTGTTATAACAAATTAGTAATTTGTTATAACAAATAAGTAATTTATTATAACAAATTAGTAATTTGTTATAACAAATTAGTACTTTGTTATAACAAATTACTAATTTGTTAAATCAAATTAATAAAAGATACTGCTGCGGCCCTATTACGCTTCCGTACGAACAGTATTCAATCTCGAAAGTCTCCAATGAAACAAAACAAATGGAGCAGAGCAAACACGGACCTCAAAATTTAGGGATGGGATCAGGTGCCATGGAGGAGTCAGCATCCCCTGCCGACCGGTCACACCCGCCGTGTGCTTCTTGTCATGATCCGGAAAAAACCGAAAATATCCGTAGACGGTTCAGTGTATAAATAATAATGGCCTAACAATTAGTATGAAAAACGTCAGTCAGCATTTGACTCAATGATATGTTGTATATGCTGACAAGGTCATTGTATCGACCGTAAAACATGCAAAATTATGACTTCAAACGAGACTGTTGATATCCTTGTTTCATCAATTTATATCAGAGTATACATGATGAATATTTAAGCTTTGAAAATTTGGTCCTAATAAAGGTCGGACAGAGGTGCATCAATTAAATAATCTAGGCTTATATGTGAATTATGACTATATATACCAAACATTTAAAAGTATTTTACAAATTTGGAAAGGTTCACAGGGGCGTATCCAGAATTTTTTTCTTCTTAAAAAATCTATCGGCTAATGTTAATGTATTGAAAATTATAGTAAACAAATAAAAATATGAGGTCCATTGGGGGCTATATGATGAAACAACATATGAAATGATAAATGAAGTTATGTTGCTCAAAAGCTACAGATATGGGTGATCAGGGATCAACAAAATAGTTCTGGTAATCAGCAACTACTCAGTAAGTAGGTCTATTTACTTGCCTGTATGTGCCAGTGCTAACTGTATGCTCATTTGTCACCAGCACCAAACAGTGCTTTTGTATGTTTGTATGTTGTTTTAACGTCCCTCTCGAGAATTTTTCACTCATATGGAGACGCCACCACTTGCCGGTGGAGAGCTGCAAATTTTGTCTTATATTCGGCACTTACGGCCATTGAGCAGTGAGGGATCTTTTTCGTGCCAGCACCTACTGCGACACGGGACCTCGGTTTATACGGTCTCATCCGAAGGACCGGTCTCCACGTCCCACAAAGGGATTCGAACCCGCGACGTAAGGATCAACTCCTTACTTCGCGACTCTAGAGCAGACGCTCTAACCACTGCGCCACGCAGGCGACATCAAACAGTGCTTTTAAAAGCATGAAAAACAATATAAATGTACATAGTATTGTAAACCGAGCACAATCCCCATCCCAGGGATCTCTCGTGATCTTTTAATAATGTTTATGCATAAAAATTAGGTATTTTGGCCTCAATAGAGCCCTGACCAGCACCAGAACCTCTGACAGATGGTCAAGAATTTAATAAAAATCTGGTGAAAACAACCTTCGTCATTAATTGATTGCCTCCAAGATGCCCAGGAGCAGACATTTTAAAAGAATTGGTGCATCTATAGCTAGAGCCCCTCCTAATATCAGAACCCCTGACCCTGGGAGCCATGAATTGCAGTTTTGGAAGAAGCACTCTTGCTCATCACAAACATGCTCTTAATTCTGCTTAATACAAGGGGGGGGGGGAGCTTTTTAAAGTATTGACTTGTTTTAACTGTTTAATCTATACAGCCCACCCTATAACATGAGATTTGCTGATCCAGGGACAATGAATTTTGGAAGAGGTACCCTTATACTCATTATAACCATGCTCTCAGTTTATCTGCCTAATACCCAGAAGCAGAGAAGAGTTTTGAAGAATTAATGCACTTTCACTATATATGATCAATAGATCCCCATCCTTACACCAAAACCCCTGACCCAGGGGCTATGAATTTTGGGAGAGACACGCTTGCTCATCAAAATCATGCAGGGTTTTCTCTGCTTAATACCCAGGAGCAGGGAAGGTTTTCAAACAATTAATGCAATTTCACTATACATTGTATATGATCAAAGAAACCATACATGAATTTCATTTTCAACTGTTCAAACTAATTGCTGCTAACTGATGATTGCCACTGCCAACTGCTTACTGTCACTGCTTATGGATGATATTGACTTTTTTTTAAATCTTCAATACGCTGGAGAAATACTTTTTTCTCTCTCCTTTCCCCTGTAAACAACAAATTTTAGATCCGCTCCCTTATTCCATTAACCAAACCATGCAGGCTTTAAAATTCCATGATAGCGAAATATCCTCAATACAATTTTATAGAGTAAATACTAATTAACAACAGAGGAAAATTGGAGGGGGACTCAATTTTCTATATCTTTTTCAGGAATGCCATTCATAACGCGGAGGGGGGGGGGGGCAAGTACGATAAACTTTGATTAGGGTTAACATTAGCCGATACATTTATTTATCTAAGAAACATTACAGATAATCTTTTTCATTTGCCTAGGATAAAATATCATGATATCTGAGCATTTTCCCCAAAATGCTATGTCATAAATCACAAGGCATTTTAACCTATGTCAATCAATATTGTCGCTTGTGTTACCCAGGATCCTGTCCCAATTCCTCTGAGTGACCTTCCGTACATAAAACATGTACATATATGTTCTATAAATATGAAAAAATCATAAATACTTTTGCATAATAGTTTAATACGTCGCGATTCATGTAAAAGCATTCAGGGAAAAAAAATCCATAGATTATCTTACGCAAAAGTATAAATGATTTTCCCCCGCATTGTTTCTTGCATATAATTAATTATACCTAAGTTATAATAGGCCAAGGTTGTCCAGGACAAAGTTTACATTATATGATAGCAATGCCCTCCATTCCATTCCATACCTAAGAAATAACAAAATAAATCAGAGTTATGTTTCTTTTTTAACCCAATTTTTCTGTCATTATAAAACTGCCCCTCACCTCCCTGCCAAGATAATTTTGGAGTTTTGTTGTTTTGTTTTAAATTGGATCCCCCCCCCTTTCCCGTACAAATATTCTTGATTCGTCCCTTTTTGTTTTGTAATTTTGCTGCTTTTATAGGTACGAAAGCCTATTAGGATCAAACTACGGTAAAAAAAAAAAATTAGAGGGCGTTATAAGGCAAGGGCGTTATTACGCGGAAAA